GGGGTGAGCCTGGTAGGGCGTGAGGCCAGACAGGTGGCTCGCTCACTCACTGTGTCCCCGCAGCCCGGCCTCTGCCTGGAGCCTCAGCAACCCGAATGCACTTTACCGGGGCTCCTCCTGGCCCCTGAGCCCCCACAGAATGGCGGATGGAGGAAGCCCCTTCCTAGGTCGCAGGGATTTTGTCTACCCTGCCTCAACCCGAGGTAAGGACCAGATCCTGCCCTTTTTCCCCGCCCAGAGGCCCACCACTCACCAGACCTGGTGCCTCTGGGGTGTGGCAGGAAGATCCTCTAGCCCCTGCTTCCACGGGTGCCCGTGGGGGGGGGACCCCATCCCAGCCCCACCCCCAGGCATGGCTTTCCCACACTGAGCTCATGTTCTCCGCAGACCCTAGTGGCTCTGAACGAGGGGTCAGCCCTGCCAGGAAAGAAGAAAAGAAGGTAAGGGGGTGGGAACATTAGGGTCAGGGTGCAAGGAGGGCCTGGGGTGGGTCCTGGGGTCACCCCTGTGTCTTCTCTCCCTGCATAGAGGAAGGCTGCCAGGCTCAAGTTTGACTTCCAGGCACAGTCCCCCAAGTAAGTGCCCTTCTCTCCCCTCCCCTGGCCCTTGGGGCTGGCTCTGCACTGGGGGAGAGGGGAGGCGGTCATCCCCAGGAGGTGGAGGGGACTCTGGGTGTGCTGGACAGGGTCATCGGGAGGGCCTCAGCTTGCCCATGTCCTTGCTCTGGCCCGCAGGGAGCTGACCCTGAAGAAGGGTGATATTGTCTACATCCACAAGGAGGTGGACAAGAACTGGCTGGAGGGGGAACACCATGGCAGGCTGGGCATCTTCCCTGCTAACTACGTGGAGGTGAGCTGGAGCCAGCAGTAGCCCAGGGCGGGCAGTTGGGTGTGCAGAGCCCTTATCCATCCTTGGCTTCTCTCCTGAGCTGGCAGCCACAGCTCACAGCTTCCCTGAGATGTGAACTGTGAGCTCCAGGGCAGGGGCCATGTCTCAGCCTCATTCATACATAGCCTTGGCCCCCCGCAGCCTGGCCCAGCACGTACTCGGGGAAATGTTTGTTAAATGAGGGCTAAAGCTGGAACCCAGTCAGCCGGGAACACCATGGCAGGCTGGGCATCTTCCCTGCTAACTACGTGGAGGTGAGCTGGAGCCAGCAGTAGCCCAGGGCGGGCAGTTGGGGGTGCAGAGCCCTTATCCATCCTTGGCTTCTCTCCTGAGCTGGCAGCCACAGCTCACAGCTTCCCTGAGATGTGAACTGTGAGCTCCAGGGCAGGGGCCATGTCTCAGCCTCATTCATACATAGCCTTGGCCCCCCGCAGCCTGGCCCAGCACGTACTCGGGAAATGTTTGTTAAATGAGGGCTAAAGCTGGAACCCAGTCAGCCGGGGAGGACCAGGCCTGCCAGCCCTGTCAGTGTCCCAGACTTGCACCATGCAGAACCCATCTCTCTCAAGCCGTCTTTGGGATGAATCCTAATTACACCTGGCAAGAGTACAAAGTGCGTGATGTTTACAAACCGCGTCTGCATGCATTCATTTTCATGTGTACAGTTGACCCTTGAATAATGCAGGGGTTAGGGGCGCTGACCCCCACACAGAGATGACCCCCACACAAAGATCCACGTGTAACTTTTGACTCCCCCCAAACTTAACTACTAATAGCCTGCTGTTGACAAGAAGTCTTACCGATAACATAAGCCTTACTGATTAATACCTATTTTGTATGTTATATGTATTATATACTGTATTCCTACAATAGCGTAAGCTAAATCATAAGGAAGAGAAAATACATTTTATGCATTTATGACATAACCTTTTTATAACGTTTTTGGGGCATATTTCTAGGCTACCTGGCTCATTTGTGAGTTTTTAAAAATTGTTGGAAATCTCCAAAAATGTTCTAACATATTTAATTGAAAAAATCTGCATATAAATGGACCCACACAGTTTGAACCTTTGTGTTCCAGAGTCACCTGAATTACCTCCCTGGTTCCTGTCATTAACCTGGGGAAGTGATAGATCAGCCCCATTTTACAGATGGGCTTTCGAAGGTTCAGAGACAAGTTGTTAAGTAAAAGATCCAGAATCTGTATGAAGATATAGGTTCTGGACTTGATAGATAAAGGACTGTCAGTTATCTTTGGTATTTGTGTCTTTTAAACGATCTAATTTATTAATTTAAAGTTGGTCATAATGTATCCTTATTATCACTTTAATGTCAGTAAGATCTGTAGTGATGTCCTTTCTTTCTTTCCTGATATTAATAGTTTGTGTGTTCTCTAATTCTGGCTAGAGATTTGTTCATTTTAGTGATCTTTTCAAAGAACCAACTTTAGATTTTATTGATTTTTCTCTATTTTTGTTTTCCATATCATTGATTTCTGCCACTTTAATATTTGCTTCTGCTTGCATTAGGTCCAGTTTGCGATTTTCCCCCCTAGTTTTTTAGGGTGGTAGTTTATATGATTGATTCGAAACAGTTCCCCCTACTATATGCATTTAATGCTATAACTTTTCCTCTGTGCACTGCTTTAATTGCATCCCACAGATTTTGATTTTTTTTTTTTATTCAACTCAAACTGTTTTCCCATTTCCTTCGTGACTTCCTCTGAACTATGGGTTGGGTGGTTGTTTTAATTCAGGCTTTTGATTTGGCAGACATCAGTAGGCCTCTCTGATCCTGAAATTTTGCAAAGTATCTACAGTATTCCATGTCATCAGTCATGTAGATCTTAGTATGAAATAGTTTATTAGCATCCTGGCCAGTGGTGCTCAGTTATTTGAGCATCGTCCCATGTACTGAAAGGTTGGATTCCTGGTCAGGGAACATACCCAGGTTTTAGGTTCAATCCTGGTCCAGTGTGTGCGGGAGACAACTGATCAATGTTTCTCTCTCTCTCTCTCCCTTTTTTCTTCCCTCCCTCCCTCTCCCTTCTCTCTCTCTAAACTCAATGAGAACAGTCCTGGTGGGTGGCTCAGTTGATTAGAACATCATCCTGATACTCCAAGGTTTCAGGTTTCATCTCCCGTCAGGGCATATACAAGAAACAACCAATGAATGCATAAATAAGTAGAACAACAAGTTGATGTTTCTCTCTCTCTAAAAATCAATCAATAATAAAAATTTAAAATATAAAATCAGTAAAAACATTTAAAATACATATATTAAAAAAAGAAATGGTTGATTAGCTTCTTGATTTTTATGAGTAGGGTGAAGCAAAGAGCACGGAGATTCTGGGCCACTGGTGGGGTAGAAGGGGAGGAGGAGAGGGACACTGGGTCCTCGGCAATGGTAACATGTCAGCGCCTCACTGTTAGAACACGCCAGCAGGTGTGCCCTGCTCCTTAATAATGCCGGTGGTCATGATCCGGCATCAAGAAGGATTCAGGAACCTGGAGAAGGCGCTGTGCGTCAATTAAATAAGAGTCCAAAGACGAAACATAATTTTGAAAGGCATTATAGGGAGTCAGAGAAGACTTAGCTAAAGGAACTAAGTTCTCCTTGTCTCAGGACCCCTTGCTTTTTATTAACCCAAGTTGTCCTAAGGCAAGGTAGATATACATCAAAGGGCCAGCTTTCCTATACACAATCCATTGTCAGATTATCAGGTTTTGGAGAAACTGCCTTCAGCTGTTCAGGTGTTCGGCCAGCAGGAGGCAATAACATGTAGATTGAAATGTCTTTAGCTCTCTGGCAGCAAGCAATCATTTATTCATCCTTTTCAGGTTTGGGGAAATGCCCTCCCTCAGCCATCTCCAGAGATTCAGCCCTGCTGACACGCTGGAATTGGCTTTCGGCACTTGAAACTTGTTTCTTCTGCCCTCCAAGTTCAGCTCACTGAACTGGCCACTGCCCACTCCAATAACGCCCACTCCACACACCTCCAGTGCAAAGTCTCCCTCCAGAGGTCTTCTGGGCCTCAGCAGCCCCTTGGCTGTGCTTACCACCCTAGGCTTGTGACTGGTGTCTGTCCCTCTCTGGCCTGGGGACAGATCTTACCATACCCCCTTCTCTTAGTTGCCTCACCCTCCCAGGAGCCCCAGGTCTCTGACCGATTAATGTCTAGGCTGAGCCTTTCTCTCTTTCTTTCTTACTGCAGGTGCTGCCTGCAGATGAAATCCCCAAGCCGCACAAGCCCCCGACCTACCAGGTGCTGGAGTATGGAGAAGCCGTGGCCCAGTACAATTTCAAGGGGGATCTGGAGGTGGAGCTGTCCTTCCGAAAGGTGCGGCAGGGCCAGGCAGGAAGTGGGGGTCGGCGGGGGCTGGTGAAGACGGAGGAAATACGTACATTGTTAAAAAGAGGTGTATCCACCTTCATCTAGTATTTTCAATTTTTTTCTCAGTCTCTTTGGATTAATGCCCCTTAATGTAGCCCATATTTTAAAAGTCCAAAACTTCTAGAGTAGTGCTTTTTTTTCATTCCAGGTTGGGAGGTTTTGAGGATCACAATCAGCATTTTTACTGTTTGCATTTTTTTTGTAATCCTCACCTGAGGATATTTTTTTCCATTGATTTTATAGAGCAAGTGGAAGGGAGGGGGAGAGAGAAACATTGATGTGAGAGAGACTCATTGATTGGTTGCCTCCTTCACACACCCGGACTAGGGCCAAGGATCGAGCCTGCAACCAAGGTGCTTGCTGTTGACCTGAATCGAACCCACGACCCTTCAGTCTTCAGGCCGACACTCTAACCACTGAAAAACCCAGCCAGGGCATTTTTAAAAGAGTGAAATGGAAATATTAGAAGGCCTTGCATGTAGCCTGGCTAGGAAGCTCATTTGGTTTGAGAGTTGTCCCAATATGCCAGGGTTGTGGGTTTGATCACAGATCAGGGCACATACAAGAATCAACCAATGAATGCATAAATAAGTGGAACAACAAGTTGATGTTTCTCTTTCTCTCTCTCTAAAACCAACTAAAAAAAAGAATGCCTTGCATGTAGTAAGGGTATCCTATCACATTTGTAGGCATTTATGCCCTGGCCAGTGTGGCTCAGTTGGTTGAAACATCGCACCATACACGGGTCAGGGCTCATACCTAAGTTATTGGTTCAATCGGCAGTCCAATCGGGGCATGTGCAGGAGGCAACGGATCAATCTCACATCAATGTTTCTCTCTCCCTTCCTCTCTCTAAAATTAAAATAGAAATGTTTTTTAGGCATTTATGCCTGTGTGTGTGTGTGTGTGTGTGTGTGTGTGTGTTGGATTGTTACTACAATACCATTTTTATTATAGGTCGTGTTCAAAAAAGCTTTAAAAATGTCCTAGAAAGCAGGGTTTGGTCTCCCTTTGGCTGATTTTTGGGGCAGAAGCCATGAATGCCCCTAGTGAATGTCCCCCAGAAGAGCTGACCCCAGGGACAGAACGGGGAGGAGGTGGCTGGGTGGAGAGGTGGGGGCCAGAGAGGGCTGGACACCTCTTCCCCTGGGCAGCCCACTTGACCTCAGTCGTGAGGGCCTGAGGAGGCAGTAGCTGTCATCAGGGACTTTGTTTGTTGGCAGTGGTGCCGGGATCACTCCGTGTGGAGGCAGGGACAGGACCAGTGGGGGTTAGTGCCTGGCCAGTGCTTCTTGCCAAGCTGCCAACCATGCCCTTCGCTCCTCACAGCCACGGTGTTGCTATCCTCGCTTCACGAGTGAGGAAACCAAGGCTCAGAGAGGCAAAGTAAGCTGCCCAGGGCCATGCAGCTTGAAACTGGCAAAAGCCCGGTTTGGACCCGTGTTATTAGCCACCAGGCTCCCCTGTGACTTCTGCTCCATGGCCAGGCAGCCTGGGTTTGGCTCCTGACTCTCCACTTCCTAGCCCCTCGAGCCCCATCCCTCTGGGTATCCATGTAGGCAGCCTTGGGTGCGAGGTGCCAGGAAGCCCTCCAGATCCTGACTCCTTTCTCCCCCAGGGGGAGCGCATCTGCCTGATCCGAAAGGTGAACGAGAACTGGTATGAGGGGCGCATCTCGGGCACCGGGCGCCAGGGCATCTTCCCGGTCAGCTACGTGCAGGTGAGCCGAGAGCCCCGGCTCCGCCTCTGCGACGAGGGCCCCCAGCTCCCCGCGTCT